AAGTATAGTACTGCTGAGTATGCTCGACGTATGATAATTATTACCATTTTTTAAAGTCATATTTGGATTTATAACATATATTATTAATTTAAGTTAATTTTTTTATTTAGGCTAAGCATTTGGGGAGACAACCATTGATGACTGAGCTAGTTACCGAAACTCGGACAAAGAAATCGGGGGAATTTATTGACGAGCGTACAAAAAAAGCCCTGGTAAGTAAATTTATGTTTATATATTTTTTATTTTTTAAGCAATTTTGTGACGTGATTTTCACGTGGCAAGTGAGATGTTGTGGCGTGAAAATTGAGTGGAAACTGATAAATTGTGGCGTTACAATCATGTGACTATATGTTTTTTATTATTTTTTTATTAAATTTAATTTTATTAACTTTACTTATATATTTAACTTAATTTTTTTATTGTATGTGTAGGAGGATTATCAGGCCTTGCTTGTAGAATTTCTGACCCATAATCCCCAGTATACTCCTCCTCCGGGAAAACCGGTTCATCCAAATGTGGATTTCTATATTTGGAGTCAAGTTGTTGGGGGAAAGGGGCCTAACGGGTGCTTTTTTGGTGGTGAAAATTTGGCGGGCACCTTGAGGAGTGAGGATAGAACTCTGTATCAGAGAGCTGCGGACGGTGAAAGAGGGTCACGTCAAACAAATTTAACACCAGATCAGTTAGAAACGGTAAGACAATTGGCTAGACGCGAGTCCGAAGAACGTGAGGCCGCATTGAAGGTCTAAATGGAGGCGACATTGAAGGTCCAAATGGAGGCAATGAGGGGTGAACATAATAGAGAAATGGAGACAATGGCGAAGAGGCAGACTGATATGGAGGAGCAAATGTGACAATTTATGCAAGCATTTGGTGGAAATCCCAACAATGGTGGCCAAAATAATAACCACCAAAATAATGATGACTTTCTTCGCGACTTTTCCGACGACTCGAATGATCCTTCTGTTTAGTTTTATTTTTATTTTCTATTTAGTTTTTTATTTGTGTACTAATATAAATTTATAATCATATTTTATATTTAAAAATATTAAATTTAAATTTTAGTTTATTAATTTTATTATATTAAATATATTAATTTATATATTTTGATATATTTAGTTTTATTTTTTATAATTTGATTTATAATATTGAATTTAATAAATAAATTATAATATTTAATTTATAAATTTAATGAAACAGAAAATAATATTAATTATTATATCAAAATTATTATATTTAAAACAGAAAATAATTTAAGAGAAAAAAAGAAGTTGCGACGTGTTTTCCAAGTCACAAATTAGTGACATGAAAAACACGCCGTAACACACAACGTAAAAGTGAATATAAAATCTGCTCTGACCTCTGCTCTGCTCTGACTGTCTTTGACCCCATAAAATTTGTTGCGGCGTGAATTTCACGTGGCAACGTTGTGACATGTTTCCCACGTCGCAACAACATTGCCACGCGCTCTCCAGTGACGTGTTTCTTCAGGTGACAAAAATAAAGTTGTGACATAATTTTTGTGTTAGCGACGTGGGAGTCACGTGACAACACACAACTTATTTTGTAGTGAGTTTCATAATACGCTTATGATATTTTCTTTGCTTAATGATCTTAATGAAAAGTCATCGCTCCAATAAGAGTTTTTCTTTCACTTTATTGCTTTAGAAGTATTAGAATTTAAGCAAAGATAATATGACAAAATTTATGTCATCTTAAATAACACCTCTAATGTCTCTAGATTGTAAAACTTTAAGATCATAAAACTGTATAATATAGAGTGTATTCACTTTTAAACTTGAGTCTCACTTTAAATATACTAAATTGTGAGAGAATTTGAGTTTCTCCATCATTATGTAAGGTCTAGATCTAAAAACATAATGCTCATATTTTATTCCTAAAAGTTAGAACTTTTGAGAATCAAAATCTAACTTATTTTGTAGATACATAAACTATATTAGTTTTTAGAGAATAAAAAAATGTACTCACCAAAATATCAAGTGCATCATTCATGTAGATTCTTTAAACAATAACATCAATCGCTAATGATATTTTGTTACAATAATCTCACAGTAACAATTAATATTGATAAACAATAAATCTTTATAATCGGTCGATGCTTACCATTATAAGTGCGTGAGTGTAATCCATTGAATACTTTCATGATTTTACATTCACACGACTTTATTAAGCACTTTAATAAATTATTATAAAAACATGCACATTTATAATTGTAAATTTATAAAACAAAAACAAAATACCAAATGCACCATTAACCCACAATCTTTAATTGTCAAGAATTAACTGCAAGCAACACTCTCAATATAATGATTAAATATTAGTAAAAAGTCTTCACTAATACTAAAAAATCTTATTAATTTACTTAGATAGAAAGATAAATGCACCCTGAACACGTATAATTAAAGATAAAACATATTGGTGAATGATTTGAAATATCAAAAATAACCGACGTAAACGTACACATCACTCACCTCATTATCACAAATTAATTGTCGTGTTATAAATATTTTCTTATTTATAAACAAAAATCATCATTGTTTTTCTGTCTTAAATACAAAGATTAATTAATTTACGTACATTTAACAACTTTGTTTCTAAATGATCATTGCATTAATTATTTATTATAAAAAGATAACAATTTTAATTTGGAATAAGTTAGTAACTATGTTATTTTTTTTTATACAAAATGATTATTTTGTTTATAATTAAGGTTAGAGAGAGAGAGAGTTAAATTTTAAAATGTAAGAAAATAATTTAAAGATATCACTTTTAAGGTCGTAAAATTTAACATCACTAAAATATTAGAGTTAATAGTACAAGTAACCCAATAATTTATAAATGAAAATAAAAAAGTAAGAATCTACGAGATCCATGCAATGCTAGCCTACACTAGATGTGGTAACTTAGTGTCTCATGACAAAATTTAATAAATTTAATTTTTTCAATCATCAAGTTTAACATGATTTAAATATTAAAAAATAATATGATACTTACTCGAATCTTATTTATTAGAGAGATGTCATGTATCACTATAAGATTTTCATGAATTATCACGAATTCAATTTATTATATGTTTTATTAGTTTTAAAAAACTCTAATATTTTTATTAATATAGAAAAGAGAAAAATTTATTAGATGATTGCAGTCGCTTGCCACCGTTAGCATAACCACACATCATTTTTAGTCATAGACTTCATAATACATCATATGATAGGTTCACTATAAAAACTTGTCTCCATGTACCATACTTTTTGCTATTATAATCAAATTCAACGTATAATTATCTCAAAAGTGTGAAGATTGAACTTATTTACCTCATAACATAGGTTAAAAATTGTGATTCAATTGGGGGTATAGATCTTTATCTATTCTACATGATGTACAAAACTTTGTTTGAGTCTCTGTGCAAAGACCAACACATATCAAGTTCAATCCATAGATCAAGAAAACATCTAATAATTTTGTTCTTTTTTGGCGAGATTGAAAATTATTGATATTGTAAACAAGTGAAATTTAACATAGTTTAATCCTTGAACAAAGAGTTTTAAATTTTGGAGGTTATTATTCATAATTAAATATATTTTTATAAAAGGTTCTTTTCTGAATTGGGTCTGTCTTTGGTCCAACTATTAGTGAGGTCCAATCTAAGCTTGCCAACCTGCTGCGCTGGACAGTATATCCACCGAGCACACCCCGATCATAGGTATCTGATCGGCTATGATTGTTTCCTGCCGCTGCTCGCGAAGAACGTCCCCTCCGAGCACACGCTCCCTCCGAGCACTCTCTTCGTAGGGCTGATTTTCAATCTCTCTGGATTTCAGAGTCTTCATGGTCCCGGAAAGATCGCGTCTTTATCCTCCCTGTCTTGCGAAGGGCGTCATTTAGGTAGGGGGCCACGTGCGAGTCCCCACTACTCACGTAGAACCTGACAGTCTCTTTGTTGGGCCTGTTTGATCAGTCCAATAAAGAGACCTTGACTCATCGCTGATGGCTATAAATACCATCTCTTTCGAGAGAGTCAGATATTCATTCATTCACACCCACATTCATATTTGTTTGCTCATTCCGCCTCTCATTTTGTCATCGGAGTGTCTTGCAGGTACTCCCGTCTCCTTCAAATTCAATCCAAAACCAACTGTGACAGTGCAACTCTAATCCGATAAGATCAGATATAAAAAAAAATAAAACGAGAAGAATGTGAATAACACGTGTAATTGAAGATTAAGAAAGTATATTAATGAATGATCTAAAATACAAAAAAAAAATCTACGTCGACTCACATTTTGTCTGCATGTTTATCACAAATTAGTTATGGTGATATAAACATTTACTATCTATTTATAAACAAAAATCTTCGTCGTTTTTCTACCATAAATATAAATAAAAATCAATTAATTCACCCGTAATTAACAACTTTGTTTTTAAGTTATAATCATTACATTAATTATTTATTATAAACAGATGACAATTTAATTAGGAATAAGTTACTAACTATCTCATTTCTTTTATACAAAAAAAAAAAAAAAAACAAATACATTTAAACTATCTTTTTATAAAAAAAGCATATAACTAACCCAATACTAATTTATAAAATGAAAAATAAAAAAGTATAAGAATCTATGAGATCCATGCAGTGCTACACCTGCAGCCTAACGTTAAGTTGACTCCCAACAACAACGCAATAAATAAATAATCTTATAATAGTAATATTTTTTTATATTATTATTATCATTATTATTATTATTATCAGAAGAATTCACTAATTACTCTTCTTCTCTACTTCTTCTCCTTTCTCTTTCTCGCTCCTCCACTTTCTCTCTCTAATTCTCTCTCATTCAACCCTAAAACCAAACCTTATCGCCAGTAACCGTTTCCGGCACCACCGGGACCTTCTCTCGCCGGAGAATCTCCCAACCCGATCTATCTCACAACATTCAGTCGTTTATCCACTACTCGAGCGAACTGAGAGAGATCGGAAAATGTACAAGAACCAGCTTCAAGAGCTGGCGCAGAGGAGCTGCTTCAATCTTCCTTCATACACTTGTATCCGAGAAGGTCCCGATCACGCGCCGAGGTTTAAAGCTACCGTTAACTTTAACGGCGAGATCTTCGAGAGTCCTCAGTACTGTTCGACTCTCCGTCAAGCTGAACATTCCGCTGCCGAAGTAGCGCTCAATTCGCTTTCGCACCGCGGTCCTTCTCACTCACTCGCCGCTAAGATCCTTGTGAGTTTTCTATCTATCAGTATCAATGTCGCTTTTGTTTTAGGGTTTTTGCTTTTTTCGTTCTTTGTTATTTAACTCAGTTACGGTGGAAAATTTTGCGTATGGAACTAAAAATAGCTAAAGTATAAGGTGTTTGCTAACGTACGCGACTGCGCGTTCTGATGAACCTGGACTCTTTTGTGAGTCGTAGCGCATGGTTACTGTGAGAGGAAGCGCGTGTTTTCCTGAGTTGGTCGTGGAATGACCTAAGTGTCCCTATATTTGTATGATTCAAGGTAGGATTAGGTAGGAACTGTGTCAAGTAGAAAAGAATCATGGATGGCACGGAATCTATGTGCACCTGTAACAGTTTTGTTTAGCTTTGCTTTGGAGATTAGGTTTTTGATTTTATTATTATTGATTTTGATTTATGGATGTTACTGTGGATAAAATCAAGAAATGCAGGAATTTAAAAATTGATAATACACCCGCCGCAGTCGCATAAATGCTTTCATGATTTTGGGCAGTACTGGTGGTGTTATTTTCTGGAAATTTCGTCTGGAAAGGTGTCGTAATGGCGTTTCATGCATTTCATCTGTGGTTTTTTTATTAGCATAAAAAAGGTGAATAACACTAGAGGTGTGCTATTTTAACACCAATTTTCTCTACACCTTATCTAACAACAAAAGAAAATGGTCTTGGCACAATAATCAAAGTAAATTAAATTATTAAAAAAAATAAAACTAGTACGTGTATTTATACACTTACGGTGTAAGTGTTAAAAATCGGTGTCAAAGTATCTCATCCCATAACACTATTGGCTTCTTCAAATACTGTTTTGTCACAATAACAGACCGTTTTTTTTAAACCTGGAATAAAGTTAAGAAATGCTGGAATTAAAAATTTGGAATACATTCAAGGTTTTGAATAACGGTCGCATAAAAGCTTTTGTGATTTTGGTCAGTATAGGTGTTGTTTTATTGATTGTGGTTGTCGCAATGTGAATTAATGACAACATTTATAAATATTATTTTCTGAAAAATTCCGTGTCTGGAAAGGTGTCGTACGGGCGTTTCACGCGTTCCATCTGTGTCTTTTTTTCTCAGCATAAAAACGGTGAATATTGGTATGAGCTCTTTTCAATACCGCTTTGTCACATTAACATACAGTTTTTTAAACCTTGAATACACACATGTGCCGTGCCTGTTCTGTTCGCTTAGTGGACTAGTCAATGGTAGCATGATACAGGGAAGAAAATAATACATATTCTCTGTTTTTATATTGCTTCTAGTGCTACTTGAATATCTGAATTGTATGTTACAGAAGAAATGTCATAAAACTAGAGAGTAGTATTAGGAAAGTTTCCCAGATTCTCAATCTGGTATTTAAGTAAATGAACAGTGCTGTAAGTTACACTTGAGTTCTTATATCGATTGGTTTTACATCTTGTATAAAACCAACTGTTGTATTGGTTCAACAAGGAGCAAAGAAAAGCCTATTATATTTAAGTGAGTTTGGACTTTGGATGATAAATGTTGACTTTTAACTGGGGGTTTGCGTTGGGTATGGTGTTTGACTGTTTGTATAGCAAAATTGTCAACAGTTACTTCTTAAGTAAACAACAGTATTTTTTTAAGCGCCCCATTACATTAATTGTCATATCCAGTCTGTTAATCACTTTTGCTTATCGACTGACACATATGCGTCCTTTTTATTTTATGTTCTAAAACATAATTTTGGCGATACTCACACTAGACATGAGTGCACGATATTTTTACAAATGTACCGACACAAACTATGTCTAGAATATGTCAGATTGGGGTAAGGCATACATACACATATATGGAGCTGTTAGTTAAGAGTGTGAATGGATGATGTCAATTTCAAACATTCACATGTAGTTGGCTTGGCTGTGCATAGTTGACTTTTCCAAAAGTTATTTAAAAACAAAGTGAAAGTTCTTTTATAAGAGCTGTGTGCTAGATTTGTCAACCCATAGTTAAGTGTTGGCAAAATGTCCAAGAGGTATCCTAGTCATGTTTGGCACATCTCCATGTCAATAAAAATAAATATTTTAATCAAATGCCTGGTGAGGAGTGTTATGCATTTGTTGTACTGGTGTTATTGTCGGCTGGAAGTTTGTTTGACTCCCAATACTTGAAGATGGAGAAATGTTTGTACTTCATAGATTGTAGATAGGTATAGAACCATTATTCTTACCCGTAGTTGTTGTTTCTGAAGAAAAGTGTATTATTAGTGAAACATCGGAGATAATTTATGTAACCAACCATTCATAAAATACATGATAAAGCAAAGGTAACCTGCTGTAAATCTTATACCATGGTGGGGGATACAGGGAAGGGTTAGTTAGAGACCCATTACAGATGGTCTTTGTTTTAAATCCTACATGAAAGAGAACATAATTCTGTGTCTAAAATGTGTTGTATAATTTGCATGAAATGCTTGTTGTATTGTAGATATTTTTTTTCCCTTCTTTCTTTTTGATATCAATACTCCCAGTCTAGGAAAAGAAAAAAAACATTGTAAACATAATGTATTTGATTCACCATGTACCCATGAATACAATCTCTGCAGTTTATTCCTTTCTTTTTTTGGGAGGAGGGGGGGTTTCTAGCCTTTTATCTTTCCCCTTACCATGTTGGAATCATGCACTTGGTACAGGGCATTATTTGTCCTCTATGTACTATATTCCTGCAAATCTTCAATATGTATTATATCCAAATCAAAAAAGAAATTCTTAGAAAAAGAGAATTGGTCCACTGATGGTAGTGGTTCTTCTGACCCATCAGTTTCCTGACCCACTGTTGGAATTATTTTAGGTAGCCTTATTCTAAATATGTTTTTATATTAGCCTGATATCATTGTTAAATGTTAATATGATTATTTATCCACACTGCAGCCTTTCCATGTCTTCGTCGTACCCTTGGTAGCTTTTTGTTCATATACTCATAATGTTCATCTTTTTTTAGGATGAGACTGGAGTCTACAAGAACCTCTTACAGGAAATTGCACAGCGAGTAGGGGCTCCATTGCCTCAGTACACAACATTCAGATCAGGCCTAGGACATTTACCTGTTTTTACTGGGATAGTAGAATTAGCTGGAATCACATTTACCGGTGAACCTGCCAAGAATAAGAAACAAGCAGAGAAAAATGCAGCTATGGCAGCCTGGTCATCTTTAAAGCAATGTAAGCGGGTGGCTAACCTTTTGTTTGAAAAATTGATTGCTTTCATGAAAATATATGAATGTTCACACTTCACATGAATTTGTCCTCTGAAGATACATAGGCCACAAAGCCAATGCCTAACTGGAGCCTGTTTTCTTGATTTTTTACATTTTGTTTAAAACATGTGGGCATGTGGCCAATGATTTAGGCTGAAAATTCCATCTAATGGTATTGTGGGGGGGTGATGCACGAACAATCTATTAGAAAAATTACTGTGCTTCCATAATTTATTTGTGTTAAGGGCAATATGATCTTCAACACAATAATAACAAGCCTTCTTAGACGCCTATGTTTTTTATTTTATTATAAGTTAAATTCCTTTAAAGACATTATATTATGTGTCATAAAGTTTGTTACTTGTGTTATTCTAATCAGTTTATCATTTTCTGTATTTGAGTCAGATTTTTTATTTCCCATGTAAAGGACTGAATATGAATTAACAATAATTTCCTTTCTCATCAGTGGCAAAAGAGAGTGCTAGCTCTTCTACTGAACCTGAGAACAATGATGAATTAGAACAGATCACTATAGCTCGGGCTTTGCTGAACTACCGTTTGAAGGAAAAGATGTCAATGTCTAACCGAAATGCACCGATTCCCTTCCAGAAGAAGTTTCAGATTCAAAATCTCAGGCCAACTAGTTCTCAACCTCCTGCCACCACATCAAAGATCCTTCCTCTAATTTGCCCAAAGACAGGACCTCGAAACAAACCTTCATCAGCAACATCAAATGAAAATCCTCGAAGCAGGCATCCGCTAACAACAGCAACCAGTGACAAGTCCATTGTGCAGCCGCCACAATCTTATGTACTAGAAAACTGGATGACCCGTCCTCTGAGGTTCCCTGCAGCAGGAGCAGCACCTTATGTTCCCATTCGACAAATGAGACCACCTTGCCATGGGATTGCACCTCCAGTGGCTATGAGGACGGTAGTACCCGTGTTCTCTGCACCACCTCGTCCACCACCTGCCTCAGTTCATCAGGTTATACGGGCTCCGCCTGTACGAGTTGCTCCTCCGGTAAGTATTCGGCAAGCTATTCCTGTATATGCTGTCCCTCCACCAAGAAAAGATGAATCTCCCCCCATCCAAAATGATCTACCTGCCCCTGCCGAACAAGATAAGCTTCCAGCTAAAATTCTAGAGACGGACAAGACTGAGAAGTACCCACCACAACCAGAGACTTTGCAGAGTTTGGAGCAGCTAAAAATTTGAAATTGATTTGAGCAGGTCTGAATCCATTGGAACACCATCATGTTTTTGTTGTGATAGCTTGGTTCGCATCCTATAATGAGTGATGTCATAATCTCTCCCTATTTCCTTCCTTACCCCCATTTTGTCCTGTTAAATTCGAGGGTTGGCACAGGTTAATAGCTTTCGTAGCTCAATTTCTGTAAAATTCAGAGTAGTTTGGCATAAAATTTACTAGTTTTTACTATATGCAATGTATGTATGTCCTATTTTATCATACCTTTTCAGCAAGTATGCGAGTTTGATTAACGAGTATTGCTCGTTTTGTCCTGTGATCAGTAATGCTCCACATACTCTGCATTTATTTTCTTCACATCAATGAGAGTTCAGTCTGAGTTCTCTTACAAGCCTTGCTCATGAAGCGTACCACACACATGGCATGGCTTATGTATCAAGTTCCTAGGTTTAGTCTTAGTCTTTGGTCATTTATTAGCTTTACCTGTTATCGATTGATGTGATGCTTGAGCAGTTTATTTGTATTTTATTTAGGGTTTAAATAATTTTTTGGTCTTTGTTAGATGTGTTTTTTATTTTTCGTCTGTTTTTTGTTTTTGGAACAAGTCCTTAAATGTTAAAATCTATACTTGGTTTTCTTTCCTGTATATTTTTTTGTGCTCTTTTATTTTGGTTGTTGTCTATGTAAGTTAGAGAGTTTTTGTTTTCGGTTCCTATATCTTAGCAAGTTTGAGTTTTATAGGGACGAAAATAAAAAAAAATTCTAACTTACAGGGACGAAAGCCATTTTTTTTTAATCATACAAGGATTACATAGGGAGAAAAACACATCTAGGGATTTGTTTCAAAAAGAAATGCTAGTACATAGATGAAAATAAAAAATACGTCGATTTATCTGGATCAAAAGATTATATAAGACTTTATTTATTATGTATTCACTATATAGTTTTAATTAGTTTAATAAATAATGGGAACATTGATTCAAATAAAAAGTGATGCAAGAAATGGTGCTTTAGTATTTATTGAAAACATAATTTGTGAGAAATTATTTCAAATAACACACTATGAGATGGAGGGAGTAATTTATACATCTAAACCAATACTAGGAAGAGTTAAAAGGTAGTCTACTTACACTTAAAATAGTTTTACAGTGTTATCTAATAGAAAATAAATATTCTGCCATATCATTAAAAAAGAAATTATGTGAGTACATTAATCATTTTCTCATACTAGAACACTTGTCAAATGTTAGTTAGCATTTGTCTATTGATATTGATAAATTAGTTTATATGGAAGAGGGATACCGACAAACAATAGTTCAATAATAAAATAGAGCTGTATCTTTGTACGTAACCACATTTTTTGTTGAGCAACTTGCATTGTCAACCATTTTCTCAATCATCTATGTCATGTAGCATTCAACTAATTGAAGCAGGCACTCAAGTTGTTCGAATGTGAAGTTACATTAAACCGGAAAAAGAAAACACCTCCTCTGCATGTAAAGTCATTTTCATCCTATAGTAGTAGTAGTGTTGTATTACAACCTCTTCCCTGTATGAAAATACTATTCAAAGATAAAGACATTTTTACTATATATAAATAACTCAAGATCCAATATTGAGATTCTAAAATTAAACAAACAGAGGTACATAGTGATAATATGGAGCCTCAACAGTGTCTGATACTTAAATGGAAGTTCAGAATGAGTTATGGAGAGGTAGTTGGTGTTTGTTTAATGCTTGTTTCAATTTGGCAGAATTTGAAGGTTCACCACGTTTCATCTGGAGTCAATAATTATTAGTATGAAGTTAGAAGGTTCTCTTTTCCATAAACATAGCCATCACAAAGTGGAAGTAATTGTCATAATTGAGGGCAGAGGACCCAGAAACATACAATTGGTTATCTCCATTCATTTATTGCAATTCAACCTTGTTTTGTCCGGCTCTTTTTGTATTATTCAACAATACCTCCAATTACTCGTCAAAATATATCATCTATAGCTGTTTTTATATTGCAGTCGACCGTAGATTATTAGATTAAGAGGGGGAAATCATCTCTTATAATTTAATGCTTACAAGTTGGTTGGATTATGTAAAGTCAAAATTTCAAGGATCTAAGTTCATCTAATAATGTTAGTCTAGTGGATGCATGTTAAGAATATGTGCAAAGATACTTAGTGATATTTTTACGGTTTTGACCCTTGTTATTTAATAATCCGCACGAGTAAATTTATTTAATACGATATAGATTTTATTTAAATATATACAAAAAGAAAAAATATTTGTAAAATGGAGAAAGGAAAATTTTTTTTTTTGATATTTGAAAATAAAAATTTTGTGTTTCAAATAAAAGTTACTGGTAATTAAAATAAAATATGTATTTTATTGACAGTGGCCCGTAAAAAAAATAAATTTTAATATTTGAAATAAGAATTTTGTGTTTTAAATGAAGCCAATTGTGAATTAAAATAAAATAAGTATTTTGGTGATAGTACTCTGTGAGAAAAAAAGAAATTTTGACATTTGAAAATAAATATTGTGTGTCTTAAATAAAAATAATTGTTAATTAAAATAAAATAGGTACGTTGTTGATAATAATCTGTGAGAATTTTTTTTTTTTTGACATTTACAAATAAGAATTTTGTATCTCAAATAAAAATAATTATTAATTAAAATAAAATAGATATTTTATTCATAGTGACATGTGAGTAAAAAAAGAAAATTTGACATTTGAAAATAAGAATTTTGTATCTCAAATAATGAAAATTATTAATTAAAATAGAATAATTATTTTTCTGATTGTGATATGTGAGATAGAAAGTTAATTGTGTGTATGACTATTTAGTGTTATATAATTTCATAAAATAAAATTTTAATTTTATTAAAGTTTAATATAGATTAATTAATATTTTTAATAATAATAAATAAATAGAATTAATTAATTTTGTTGTAGAAACAAAATTAAATATCAATATTGTATATATTTATACACCAATAAATATTTAATATGATAATATATACTATAATTATATATTTTAATATATTAAAAAAAATTAAAAAAAAAATATAATAGAATAATAAATTTAATTTGAAAGAAGAATGAGACCGTCCATAAAAAAGTGGAAAGTGAAAGAAAAAATAAAAGTTAAAAAAAATGTCAAATAAAAACTTGACACTTAGTAACATTTGATTTTGATTGAAGTAGCACGAATTAATTACGAAATTAGATTTTTATTATTTTAACGTTTTGTAAGTGTTAAATTTTTTAAAATAAAAGACATTATTAGTAGTTTGGTGACAATTTATTTTAATAAATAGATAATTGATCAGTGTGTTTGGACAGTATTTGAAAATTTCAAAAAAATTAAATATTTATACCATTCAAATGTTTCAACTAATTTTTATTCATTTTTGTTTAGATAGAGTAATAACAAAATTTTCAAAATTTTGTTTGGCAATCTTATTAAATTTTGAATTTTTTTTAGTATTGTTTTATAAATAAAGTATCTTCTGCGTACAATTGATGATGTTAATTCAATACGCCAAAAAGCATCACATAGAACATAAAAGTTTTCTCTTAAAAAGACCGTGTTAGATAATACTTTAAAGTTGAATGAATTCAAGTTGAAATCGTATACAAAACACTTTTTTTATGTAGTATTTCAAACACTCTCGATTATCTTAGAGTTTTGATGCAAGAATATTTAGGATAATTCAGCCTTCTCGAGTTTGTACAAGACAGATGAAAACTTGAATGCAATGAAGAGTGTATGGAATTGTTTCTAGAGGATATGCGTTTTGTTATTGCTGAATTTCTGAATTTGAAATGAAGTATTTATAAGCCACATTAGTATTGTTTCTCGAGGTAGCGACCCTTGGTGAAACAATTTCTTTTTACCAAAAATTACAATGTTTGGCCTACAACAATATATTTTAAGAGTTGCATGTTTTTATTTTGCAATATTTCATTAAGTGTTGCCTTTTTCGAATTCAAAATTCAAAGCACAAGCAACGATCAAAAATCGGCCGCCGGAGCACCCTCATTAACACCACAGATAGCCCGATTGCTTCGATGCATCATGCCTAAGTGCTCAAGTGCCGCCCACAATCTGACACTCTGTATGCTCACGCTCTCAGACCCGGTTCCGGAGTTGTGGTGACACTGACAAGACATTTTATGGGGGAGACAAGTGGCATAATGCTTGAGACCATAACACTTGTCCAAATGACACTTTATACTCTCTTGTCCTTTTGTTGAGTTAATGTTTTTAGCTCTTTATAAAGACTTTCAATGTGAGTAAATCTTTCTATGTAAGACTATTTCCCATGTATTTATTAGTATTTACTCACTTCCACTTTTCTTGTCATTTTGGAACATACCTATATACTCATAAATTACAAGAATCCTCCACTTGTTCTAATGATGACAAAACCAATTCTAAAAAAAGAAAAAAAAAGAATGTTAGTACAATTAAGTATCTTTCGATTTGAACTTAACCTTAGTAAGAATAATGCAAAGTTTAGTCAGAATATTAGGTAGCTATGCTTTAAACCGTTATCTGTTGTAATTATACAAGTTTTACCTTACACACATTTTTAATGGTTCTTCGTCCACATCTCTCTCCTATCACTATTTATGGCCATGTGATTTTCCCGTTTTTCATGAATTTTTCATGAAAGAAACTCCGACTCTTACTTTGAGACGACACCATCTCAAAATTCATATATCTGAAGTTCAATTTGTATCTATTTCTTGAGATACATATCCTCGATATATAATTTATTAAGAGTTTGAAAACTCAACCCTCAATATGTAATAGTCAACATTGTCACATAATGTTACACAAACATCCAAATCAACAACTTGTTGTTACCCATTGTTTACTATGGAAAATGGTAAACAACTGCTGGTCCTCCCAGAGTCCTAAACTGAGGGTAACTTGCAAGATCGACCAGTTGATCTCAAGACGCGTGCTAAGAGTTTTTGCTATCACACCCAATTCCGTCGAAA